TTATCAGTAGGCTTGGAGATAGGTTTTTTATTATTGGGTAGCTAATACGATCTCGTCCCGGTGTCGTGCCTTTAAGTTGATTAATGGAAGCTAGCATTTCGATCATGGTAATATCTTTTTCAATACTAAGGGCAATAGTAGATGGGGTGTGTGAGGAGTCGTGGGTTGAATTTGATTTTTGTTGAATGAAGGTTGAGGAAAAATTGTTGTCGAGTGATGAGTTAGACCAATGGGTACTAAGTGTGTTGGCTATTTCCTTATTGTCAAGTATGTTTTGTGTGGGGTTGTTGGGGTCAGTAAGGCAGTGAAAGTTGTGTTGTGTTTTTAAGCCACAGAAGCGGTTTATGTTTGACCATATTTTGAGAGGGGAAGACTTAGGGCTTATTTCAGCTGTAAAGTCTTGAATAGATTTTCGTTTCCTAATTTTTATTTCCCGCTTGAGTTTGGCATTTGCTTTTTTGTATGCAAGTATGTTTGTCATGTCAATGTTTCTGTTTAGAGTACGCCAACATAAGCTTTTTTCGTTTTGGAGTTGTTGAAGGGTTGGGTCCCACCATGGAACAGTTTTCTTTATTTTAAATTTATGTGATTGGGGAATGGTTTCATTGGCTGCTTGAATAATTATTTTAGTTAAGTTGGCTGCTTCTTTGTTTATGTTTGAGCTGGGAGATCTTTCGTTGGATAACTTTTCGGAAATCTCTTGAAAAAGGGGCCAGTTAGCTTTTTTAAGGTTGAATCTGGGTCTTTCAACAGGGCAGGTGATGCTCTGTTCAAACATGTCGATATGAATGGGATAGTGATCACTGCCTGATAGGGAGTTATCTGTGTACCATTTGGAGTTAAGGGAGAGTAAGGGTGATGCAATGGAAAGGTCTATGTGGGTGAAGGTATGGTGTGTAGTAAAGTGAGTTGGTGATCCGTTGTTGAGAGTTATTAGTGAGGATTGGTTAATATATTTAAATATTATGTTGCCTCTAGTATTGTTGGACTGTGAGCCCCAACTTCTATGCCAACTGTTAAAATCTCCTGTAATTAGGAAGGGTGATTGTATACGGTCGTAAATGTTTCTGAGGTTTTGTATTTTAAAAGGTTTGCTGGGTGGTATGTACGATGAGATTATGGTGAATTCTATTATGGAGTTAATTTTTACTGCTATTGTGTCAAAGTCAATTGCATTAGTCGGTACGATTTGCTGTTGGATTGAGTTGTGGATTAGAAGTGCTACACCTCCATATCCGTTTATAGCCGTATTTTCGTGGTAAAAGGTGTAGTTAATTGGGATAGGGATGTTTTGGGTGGAGAGTAGGTGGGTTTCTTATAGTGATATTATTTTTGGGTTGTGGTTTTTGATAAGGACTTGCAACTGGCTATAATTGTTAATGTACCCGTTTAAGTTCCATTGGAGGACTTTAAGCATTGTTAAAATTAAGGTTTGGTTGATAGTCTATATGGGGTTATCTTGTATGTAGGCTAAGTTTAAATGCTGTTTGTGATTTTGTTGTTTTTCTTGGGTTTTTGTTCATTTTTTTCTTTAGATTTGAGGGGCTTGGCGAGTGTGTTTTGTTTGTTTGTGTAAATTTTGAGTTTTAGTTCTTCTGATAGGGATGAGCTGAGTGTTGATGTTGATTTTAATTTTGATGTTGAGGCTAATGTGGGGGTGGTGTCCATGGGTACTTCGAGGTCGTCGTATGATGTTGCTTTTCTTTGTTGTTGTTGGGCAGGTGTGAAATTTTTGGATGGTTTGGTTGCAGTTTGGTGATCGGAGAGGTGAGAAGGTGGTTTTGTGGGTATTGTTGCATTTTTGGATGGTTGTTCTGCTAATATGGTGGAGTATAGTGCTGGTTGGTGAATGTGTCGGGCGTAGTAAATTTTGACGGCTGTTTTGTGGTCAACTTTTTCTAGTGTTTTAATTGATGTCAGCTCTTTTTGCTTTATGAAAGCTGGGCATGCTTTGTCAATTGGGCTGTGTTTGTTTGTTGGGAGGTCGAATTTGCAGTTTATGCAGAACTTTTCGTTGGTGCAAGTTTCGTCAATGGATGTGTGTTTCTCTGCGGAGCAGTTGTTGCATAGTGTGTTTGATTTGCAAGCTGTTGTGGGGTGGCCAAGTCTAAGGCAGTTGCGGCATCTGAGTGGGAGTGGTATGTATGGGCGTATGTTTACTTTTTCATAACCAATCATCATTGTCTCTGGGAGTGTCAGTGATGCGAAGGTTATGATGATGAGTCCGGTTTCTTTTAGCTCGTTTTTGTCCATTTTCTTAATTTTCCGTATTTCTGTGACGTTTTGCGATTTAAGTTCTTGCAGTATAATTTCTTCTTCAATGTTTCTTAGGTCATTGGAGTAAATTACTCCCTTGGAGAAGTTAAGGGTATTATGCTCATTAACTGATACGGGAAATTCATGGAAGATGCTCAGCTTTTTGAGTTTAATGGCTTGGAGTGTGTCCTTGGTCTTGATTAGTAGACAGCCAATTCTTGTTTTTTTGCACGATTCAACTACACCATTGCATGTGTAGTCAATTACTTTTTTAATTAGGAAGGGACATACGTGTTCAAATGTTTTATTGTCTGTTCTTTTTATGATGATGAATTTGGGGCCGGTGTCGCTTGACTTGAAAAGCCTATTTATATCGGGAGGCATTGTTGTTGTTGTAGGGCAGGTGCCCTGCTGGGGTTTTTGGAACTGATCAGTAGATTTTTGGTTATTTATTGCTTTTTTCCGATATTTGTTTTGTGCACTAGTACACTTGTTTTTGTTGTAGTTATTGTTTTTAACTGATATGAGTTGGGTCTGGGGTTTGCTCACTAGTCACACGTCTTTACTCCTTAAAGCTTAGAGTGAAACTGCTTAATATATAAATTTAAAGTAAATACCTTCAACTTCAAAATGCATTTTGAATAATGAAAATCGGATTACTATATCACACGTTTGACCACTTTGAAGCACAATTTTGTTTTGTAAAAATTCTTGCTAAGTACAGCTGTGCTGCCAAAATGTACACATGATCACGCTTTGCATTCTATTTTTATAAAGTCCGTTAGATTTCCATACAAAACCTGGTTGCCATCAATAAGTATGAACATTTTAAAGGCAATTTGCTTGAAAGTTTTTTCTATTCGTCGTTATCACTTTTTTTGATTTTTGGCCTCTGGCGGAACCACTGTGCATTGGATTAAACTTAACCAGTACAACAAAACGGAAGATCGGTGACGGCCGACGAGAGAGCGAGAGTGCATAAAGGGGCGAGCGGATGAGCTCTTCAGCGCGGGTGCGCTCTTACGTACTAGAGGTCTGCATGAATAGCTAAAAAACGACATTCAAATGCACAGCCTCGAAAATGAATTGAGTGAGATAGAATGCTGAGACGAAAATTAATGAATGAGTGAGTGCGACTGTGTAGGTCTCACTCGCACAACATTCGGGGGATAAAAACCGAATTGAATGAGTTAGAGTTACAGTTCGCATTCGAATTGTTTCAAATGCATTCTAGAATGTACGATACACCTATGCATATTTGCCTGTATTTTTAGACGCTGATAATAAAATAATTCAAAAGTGAATTAAGTCATTGATTTTTTTTCCAGAAATATTCATTATTATGCTGTATATTTTATTTTACATATTTTACTTATATAAATGTAAAAATATTTTCAATATTTATGAATAAATAATTTTCCAGCACAATTTTGCCGCTAAAAAAATTTGCAAAATAATTTAATTTGGAAAAACTAAACAATAAACACTAAGAAAATAATAATAACAGTTAAAAACCAAAGTAAAAAAACACTCTATCATAATTCACGTTTCGGTCATTGCATTCCTCATTCCAAAAGCACTCTTTTTACTTCCCACACCAACTCACTCTGTTTCAAAGCAAGAGAATGCCCATGAGTTACAATGCTTTCTCACACTCTCACTCCCTCTCATTCAATTCGTTGTGTCTCTTGCACTCATTCATTCTATTCCATTCGGATGTATTCTATGGCTGAGGCAATAAGAATGTATTCCTGCAGACCTCTATTACGTACAGCTGAGCGGCGGCCCAACGGCCCCTCACGTAAACAACACAAAAGTTATACCATTTCCGATCAATCAGCTATATGGCAGCTATAGGATATAATCGGCCGATCCGGGCCGTTCCGACTTATATACTGCGTGCAAAGGAAAGAAGGGTGTGTGCAAAGTTTCAAGACGATAGCTTTAAAACTGAGAGACTAGTTTGCGTAGAAACAGACAGACGGACAGACGGACAGACGGACATGCTTATACCAACTCAGGAGGTGATCCTGATCAAGAATATATATATTTTATAGGGTCGGAGATGTCTCCTGCACTACGTTGCACACTTTTGGCCAAAATTATAATACCCTCTGCAAGGGTATAAAAAAGCATCGAAGGCCTAAGGAAGATGCGAACCAGGGAAAATTTTACAGAGAGCATTAGGTTACCAACCTAACTTGATCGATGCTGAACAAAAGTACTATTTGTTCTTCTACCACATCCGCGCATTGTAAACAAATACGTTGAGAAATTGAAATTTAAAAGGCAAAAAATTTTTACGCCGTCCTGAGATCAGTGACACAAAGGCAAACATTTTTTTTACGTATACATGTAAAGTTCTAAAAAAAAATCGTATGCATGTGCGTTCCCCCAACGAGCTCTACAAACAAGTTGACCGTTTAGGGCCCTGATTTCCCATCTATGTACTTTATAATCTCCTTATAAAAGCAGAAGCAAAAAACAAAAGAGCGAATTTATTGCTTAATACTGCATCGATCGAAAGAAGCACCGAAGTAGAATTCCCAAACCCGGCGATTGCCGCTTCTGTGCCTTTTTGGATGCTTTCTGATTTTCGCTTTTGCTTCAACAGTACTTCTGTTCTTCCAAAACTTTACTTTAAAAACAACGGTGAAATTTGCAGAGCAGTTTCGATTTAAAGCAGTACAAGAATTACAAAATGTAAAGTATAATATTGTATATTATAAGTAAGCAAACATAGGTATGGTCAGCAGTAAATGTATTTTTCAGATTTACACAATTCATGAAAAACAACATTTGAAAACATTTTTATGCGTAAACATCTCGCTGAGTTTTCTCCCATGCAGCCATCGGGCCATGCTCGGGACGGTATTTGACGTTGCAACCATCAGGCTCCAGACGATTGTCATCACGAAGTTCTTCGTAGCGCTCACGGTCGTACTTTGTAAATCCCCACTTCTTTGAAACATAGATCTGCAAAATATAAGATAAAGAAATAGATTTAAATATGTGAGTATAATAAAATATTTGAAAGATATTAAATGTATAAAGGTTGGTGAACTATATGAACATATTTATCGGGATCGAAGATAATTTTTTTTTCTGTGACAAACCATTCTATGACCTCGACCTTTTTAATTTACTGTAGGATAATTTCTACGATTATTTAATTTGATAAACTTATTAGATCTACCGCAAGTATAACTTAAATTTGTTTTGCACCTCGATTGAATTATGTTTGAGGTATAAACAAAATTCGGTTTTAAAAGACTATAAATAATAATTATTTTTTGTTTTATAGAAACCTATAAAACAGTATTTTTTTTTTTGCTAATTATTAAATTTTGGAATTAAGAGTAACAATTTTACGTTATTTAGACTTTACCTATAAAATATAATAGACTTGATATATCTTATATGGTACCATTGTATGAGACATAGGCACTTCAAAAATGTTTTTCGTTGTAAAAAGCGTATGCAATTTTTAATCGCGCCTACTAAAAGTTAAATATTTTTGTTTTTAAACAAAAAAGCATTTGACAAAGGCATTCTTATAATATGATAAATTTAAGACTAAAAGCTATATATGTACATATGTATGTACATATAGATATTGATATAAATTGATTTGATTACCTTCTGACGACCGGGGAACTTGAACTTAGCACGACGCAAAGCTTCTACCACTTGAGCCTTGTAACGATCGCTTGAGCGCACAGACATAATGGGTTGTCCAATGCGAACACGCGCAACAGTGCCTTGTGGCTTTCCAAAAGCACCTCTCATACCAGTCTGAAGTCTGAAAATTATTATTTAAACAATTTAAAATTATTTACACAATTTTAGGCTATTAATATTTACCTATCGGCTCCAGCACACGACAACATCTTGTTGATACGTATAACGTGGAATGGATGTAAACGCATTCTAATATGGAACTGGTCCTTTCCACAGTACTTTACCAAATACTTGTTGCAACAAATGCGCCCAGCTTCCAACGCTTCGCTACTCAGTTGTTCATACTCATCAGAAACTAAATGAACGCAAAGGGGAAAATCTTCTACGGTGGCCTTCTTCCTTCCCAAGTCGAATATGCGTATTTTGGGATCCGGAACACCACGACAAAAACGGGATTTCGGATAAGGCTTGTTTTTACAGTAGCGATAACTACAAATTGTAAACATTTTAATAAATTGAAGTGTCTAATAGGGTTATATACTTGCCATCTTGCCGGTCGGCGTCCCATTTTTACAGCTGAAACGACGGCCGAATTTAATATTTAATAAATTATAAACGAAATAAATAAAATTAAATACAAGAAATATAATTTTAAATATAACTAAACTTATTCGGTGAAAACACTAATGATCCCTACAGATTTTTATAATACATACCTCTCCGAGAGAAGTGCAAGAAAAGAAGGAAACCAAATAGAACGGAAATCGAATAAATTCATAGCATGGACACACCTGCGACGTGTTTTTCGGTTAAAACCGGAACGATGGAAACAGAACAAGACAACTTGATGAACACAACTTTATGGTCGGAACGATGGTAGTAAAACAGGTAGTAGAGCAGTTCGTTCTCATGCAGCATTCAAAGTTTTACAAAGTTTTCGTGTGGACGATGAGAGAAAAAGAAAAGTGAAAGTTTATCAAAGTGTTGCAAGACATTTTTGCGCCCATATTCGTTGTAATAAATGAGCATGAATAAATAAATATGATGGTATGGTAAGTGGTTCAGTGATGCATGTGTTCGCTGAGCATATATTGTAAAATAATTCAGGAATAAATATTCATTATTCATTAAAAATTTGTATCTTAAACCATTTTTCCGGAGAAATGCCGAGAATTTTTCTATGCCCCTGGAATAAGGCTCTTCAAACAGCTGATTTTAATGCCAAATACTTATAAAACATTTGTCTCACAACCAAGACTATTATTATTAGAAGCAATAACGCTATAGTATGGGTTAAACAAAAATGCCAATTGTAAACTCTTGTATACGATAGTCATTATACCTGTTATATGCTTTGCGCATATAGGGCAGATAACGGGTTTACTCAAAAACTACATGATTATGTGAAAAAGTAAAGTGGCAGTTGCTGAATAATTCTAAGATGATTTTAAATCACGGAATTTTAGTCACATGTTTAAAAATTATGAATTTATTCAACCCTCAGATCAATTTTCTTATTTTTGAGTATTTCAACTATGCCAATATACTATGCCAATAAATGCCTAACTTTTTACTTTAAAAATGTTCTGCAAAGAATAAATTCATTGCTTCAAGTCGACCATTTTGGCTTAAAGAAAAGCAAGAATTAATTTCTTGCAGTGATAAGTTTTCGGCAATCCAACAACAAAATTCGTTCGGATTAGCACGATTGAAAAGAAAAGATAAAACACGAAAAATTGTTTTTGTATTTGGGCTTTGCCTATGCTGGGAGGAACAAACGTATATGAAATTTCGTTTCCCATATGAAAGAGCAATTCCAACAACAAAGGAGCAACGAGAGCAATGGAACTGGGCACTACTGATTTACTCACTAGTGAATTGATTAAAAAAAATTTATTTATTTCCTTTATATTCAACTATCAGATCAATTTTCTTATTTTTGATCATTTCAAAATGTCCGAAAAAAATCACTGATTTACTCACTAGTGAATTGATTAAAAAAAATTTATTTATTTCCTTTATATTCACGTATACACCATTATAATTTATTGATAGGTCGAACTTATTTAATTCCTTGCTCTTATACTTTTTTTCATTTTGAGAGTTATCCCAAAAACTGATTTAGAGAATGACTTAAGGGAGTCGGAAAATAGGATAATGTAATTTGTCAATTTAACTCGAAAACTGTAATTGGGAAGAAATTTCTGTTTACGTAGGCGTACATAAGACATCGCTTAGGGGATCTTTGTCTGGGTTGAAAATTAAGGATCACTTAGCAGACTGTGTATACTGATTTGGGTTGTACTAGCACGGAGACTCCTACATTGCCCACGCACTTCAAGTATGTTTTTGAAATTTTGCCACGTCCCCTCACGCCCCCACAAATTGCAAATTTCTGTAAGAAGATGTTTTGAAAAACTTTTGATGCCAAACATGATAAATACCCATTAATATACAGTTTCCTGTGCAAACGGGCTAAACACGTGAATCTCGAAGACTAATACGATGCCGAATTCACACTTTCATTTCTGGCTTGTGCATTAATTAGAGCATCAGCTAGAATTTCTGTATTCATCATAAAGCTTAGAGGCCGAGTAGACCGAGGGGCGCTCGAGAAACAAATAATTAGTAAATATTAAGCTAGTTGTAATAAATTAAGCTGGGAGGAGTTAGTAAGTAAATTTAAAATTCTAACTTTAAATTTAAAGGACAGGAGAGAGAAGTTATAGAGTAGAGACCATTGTAGTTCGAACATAATACCCTAAAAGGGTCATGCAGTGCATATGTCGAACTACAACGGCTAAGGAACAGAGGACTAAAGTTTCGAGTCCTTCTATTAGGAATGTTAAAATTTAATCGTGTTAGTAAACGCTGGCTATCTACATCCCCGTTAATAAGGTTATGCAGAAAAACTACACCGAGCAGGGTCCTACGATTTGTTAAGCTAGGTAAGTTTATAAGTAAGTGTCTACTATTATAAAATGGAAGGTGAAGAAAAAGTTAAGAAATTCTTTTGTACGGATTCTATGCGGTCCTTATTTACTCCATATTGGGGACTCCAGACACATGCACCGTACTCCAGTATCGGACGGACCAAAGAAATAAATAAAGTTTTGGTTATATAGGGGTCATTAAATTCTTTTGACCACCTTTTAATAAAACCAAGGACTCCTTTAGCCTTATTAACCATTAAAGAAATATGGTCGGCAAATTTACGTTTAATGTCTAATAGGACGCCGAGATCATTGACCTGAGCTAATTTCTCTAAGGCAATCCCATAAAGAGTATACAAAGCCTGCAGAGGGCAAGAACGATAAAAAGACATAAGCTTGCATTTTGATCCATTAAGTATTAAATAATTAGCTGAACACTATTTTTGAAAGTTATAAAGGTCAGACTGAAGACTGCATTGGGCAGAGATGGATTTGTATTTAAAACAAAGCTTTACATCATCTGCATACATAAGATCTAGAGAGTTCGTTAAGGCAGGGGGCAAGTCATTTATAAAAGTAAATAACAGCGGGCCAAGATGCACGGACCAGACTGGAATATGTGATTTTAAATAAGACTCTGTATGTCCTTCCGTCTAAGTAGCTGCAGATCCACGCAGATCTCTGTAGAGAATCCCAACATATTCAGTTTACTCAACACGAGTGGATTCACTGAATCAAATGCTTTACTTAAGTCTGAATTACATCGGTTTGATATCTCTTACAAAAGTCATCTATGACAAAGGATGTCAACTCCAATAAGTTTGAGGTGGTGGAGCGACGCTTAATAAAGCCATGCTGACAAGGAGAGTTAATCGAAGAGCAAAAGTGTTGCAGATGGGGAATAACTAATTTTTCAAATAACTTTGGAATTGCCGAAAACTTAGAGATGGCTCTGTAGTTGGCAGCATCGGACTTTTTCCCTTTTTTATGTAAGTGAATTATGAAAGATTCCTTCCACATAAGGGGAAAAATCGAGGTTTCCAAGAAAAGTTGAAAAGTCTTAGTCTTAGAAGGGGCCCTGGCGCAGTATTTTAGCACACAGCCTGGTACTCCACCAGGGCCTGGCGAATACATGTGGATCAGGATCAGATACAAAACATAAGTCTAAAAGCCGACCTAGCGAATTTCTAACATGATTGATCTGACCTAGGGACATGTCAAACATGGCCGCGGTGAAGTCATGGTATAGTTATAAGTGACAAAGATGGTGAGTTATCGACGTTGGACCACTTTAATTATGGAATATTAAAGTCGCCCACCGCTACGAGTTGGTCACGATCCGTCATAAGATTAGAGACGTATCGAATGGCGGACAAATGCTGCCAATATGTGGGCGGTTCAGACATAGGAAGTATATATGAACATGTAATGTATAAAGCTTTCACGGACATAGTGATTTTCACACAAATAAATTCTATGTCACCAAACTCTTGTGATTTCACCTCTTCAGAAGCAAGAGAGGAGTCCACCGAAATGAGGACCCGACCCCCCCTTCGCTGAGGTCGATCCCTTCTAAAAGTGGTGTACTTACTTTGAAAAACTTTGGAGCTAACGATCTCCGGCTTTAACCAAGATTCTGTAAATGCTATTATATGGGATGCAAAAAAAGAACTGTCAGAATATAATTTGAGGTGTTTGCTACATTGCCCCCAGTATTCTGATAGGAAAGTGTCAATGACGATACTAGTTTTTTTGGGTTAGTGGGCAAAGAAGAGGTGGAAGGTTGGTCGGTGGTTCCGATATGGGGAAGTTGAACTCCCACTGGTTTTAAATTTTTTAATTTTGCAGTACTAGGCTGATGTTCTAGGCTAACTTTGCAGGACGAAGATGTTCTCTGGCCAAAAACTGGGTGAACAAATCGTCTTGAACATCAGCGCGGGTACACGATTCTTGAAAGAAGACGTGCGCCGTGTATAATTATACTTAAATTTATTTATGTCCTCGACCTTTATATCGGCTTTTGTTTTTGCTTTGATATACGCCGAGATATCAATCTCTGAAGTATCAGGGGCAAGCCGAGAAAAAAATATATGTGTCGATGGAGGAATCACTTGTAAGGGTTTTGGTGTCGCAGGTACGAGAACTGCAGCATCGGTCGGTGCCGGTGGTCCGGACTGTTGCATACCCTTTTGGGTGACTCTGACGGGGGTTTCGTTTACTAGGACCTGTGGTATCACTTGAAGGGATACCACTGAGGAAATATCGGATAATTGCTCATTTTCCTTGAAAAATTCGGATGGCGAATTGTTCTCAGTTCTAGCCCTTGGGGTGGCTAAAGATATGAGCGGCTGCATTATTGACGGCTGAGCAGTCTGAGGCGGATCACAAACAGCGGATTTTTTACGCGCGCACAGAGCTTGTCATTGATTTTGCGAAAACCAGTGGTCAACTCTTTAAAACCTACCAGAACAGACCAGCAGAGCAGAGACGGGGAAGAAGCAGAGCTGAGCTATGCTTGGAATTGAATTTAGATAAATTAATTATTAATTCGCCTCCAAATATACTACTACACACAAAAAGCGATACGGTTTAGGTTAAAATTTAAGATTTTCAATAAATTCGATTCACAAGCGAGTAAACCCCGTTTTACCAATATTTATAAACTAAATATTTATATAAACGCAGTGCGCCCAATAAAAAAACACGACCGTTCGCTTAAGAGGAAGAGAGAGAAGTCTCAGCCGGTTCGTGTGTGCATAAACGACATTTCATGAATTCGGAATAACACAAAAGATGACTACGATTCAGCCTCAAAGCATGAATTAGTGATGCGCAATCAACTTAACGCTATACA